TATATTTTGTTAAAAATAAATGTGTATAATAAAGATTATGAAATTTGTAAGTTTTGAAAAAAAGAAAGAAAGTAAAATTTCACATCAGCAATACTATTTGAATAAGAGAAAATATCTAGTACTTTTGAGGCATGGTTAGGTGATTTTCAAAATATTTATGATTGATGGGGAGGGTGGGGCCTACAATTTTGTATTAAGGCATAAGGTATAATGCTTGGTGATTAGTGGATAATATTGTCATGTGGTGCACTTGTAACACCTAATAATTTTCTACTAACACTCAAGGAATTGACACAATTCCTTTTTCTTTTAATAACGAGATGAGTTTTATATAAATAAATATTTTTAAAATAAGATTTTATGGGTTAACAAAAAAGAAAGAGAACTTAATGGAACATGAACATTCCCAATAAGACTTTTAAGTAATTAACCCAATTATTAGAACTTCTTCCTTAAAATTTAAGAAAAACAAAAAGAAAATTTGATATTAAAGATTAAACTTAAAAACAAAAAATTAATAGAGCAGCGATGTATACTAACAAAATTTGTATAAATTTTTTGGGTTTGATGCGGATCTTTCCCCTAAAAAAAATGTAGATGATTTTCATTTGTAATAAAAGGCAAATTGAATTCCTAATCGTGCAGTTTGCTTCTTGTCTCAAATCAATTTGATTCTTGAAGCTCTAATTGTATCAACTTTTATCTTTTAATTTTACACAATGCATGAATTAAGTGCAACGGATAATATCTATTAAGAGATTAGACCAAAATCAAATGCAAAATAATTCATTCAAAAGGGAATGGATCGCTCACACTAATCCCTTAATTAGTTTGAGAATAATAAATTGACTATTTTAGTCTTGATTTTAGGCCTCGTTTGGCATAACCTATATAATCCATCTTTTTATCTTTTTATCTTTTTTCCATCACATCACCTCTCTACTTTTCTGCACATCTTTTCGTAAAAAGACAAAAAGTGCACTTTTTTAGGACACCCCAAACCAACCCTTAATCCAATTTCTAAACACTGAATAAAGGTAAAATACTGAATAAAATTGACTTTAAAATTGACTTTAAGATAACATGATTTCTTTTTTTTAAATTGACTTGATGAGAACATGATCCTTTTTTTTTATTATCAAAACTCTCAAATTTTGAATTTTTTAGATTCATTTCAATTTTCAGATTTTGAATTCAATCATACAGTTTACAATCTTATTTTCTGGAACAAAATAATCATATATATGTAAGCATGTGGACCTCGAATTGAAATTGCCAGTCCACCTTAATTCTCAATTCATGAATTTCATAATATGAATTTTAATTCTCAATTCTCAATTATATGAATTTCATAATATGACATTAACAATTCTGAATTATATGAATTTCAATTCGCATAATTTTATTCTTAATTAAAAAAAATTCCTTATATTAACAAGCAATTTTATAAAATTTCCAATTCAACAAATATAGGTTGGTTTATTCACAATACAAAATTCCAAACCCTAATTTCAAAAAATATACAATAATTTCAACAAATTGAAAACCCTAATTCCAAACCCTAATTTCAACAAATCGGAAACCCTAATTCCAAACATTAACAATTCTGAATTATATGAACTTCAAGTCGCATAATTTTATTCTTAATTAAAAAAAATTCCTAAAAACCATAGAGCATAATCATAAACCCTAACATTTTATAATTCAAAACCCTAATTCCAAACATTAACAATTCTGATTAACAATTCAAAACCCTAGCACATTTATAATTTCATTTTGTTCCAAACATTAACAATAAACCAACCTAATCATAATTTCTGATTTCACAATTCAAAACCCTAACATTTTATGATTTCATAATTTCATAACCACACATTTAAAACCCTAACACATTTCATAATTCTAAACCCTAACACATTTAACCACACATTTCATAATTCAAAACCCTAACACATTTATAATTTCATGACCCTAATTTCTAATTTCAAATTCAAAACCACACATTCACAAACACAATAAACACATAAGATTGAAATGAGACACAGAGAGGTAGATGCCATACCACGGACAGAGAGTGAGAGCAGAGTGAGAGTCTGAGAGCAGAGGGAGAGACAGAGCGAGAGTGCGAATCAGAGAGCAGAAGGAGAGCTCGAGCAAGCAGAGGAGTCGTCTGAGAGGGAGGAGATCGAAATAAGTGTAAAAACGTGATTGCAAATGAGGACTTTTCCGTGTTTTATATAAGTTGTAAAAGCGTGGTTCCAATCCACGCTTTCATTAATGAACAGTGAAAGCGTGATTGTGAATCACGTTTCTTAACAAAATTATATGAACAATGAAAGCGTGATTGACAATCACATTTTCTTCAGAAAAAAAAAAAAATTATATGCACAGTGAAAGCGTGGTTTGGAACCATGCTTTCTTCAGAAAACGAATTAAACAAGATGCACAGTGAAAGCGTGGTTTTTTCAAAAAAAAAATTTATGTTAAAAGCGTGATTTGCAACCACGCTTTCTTAATTAAAAGCGTGGTTTGCAATAGCGCTTTCACTATTCATCACATTTTGGGCTCCAAACAGTGAAAGCGCGGTTTGTAATAGCGCTTTAGCCTAGTTTGGGAATTCCGTCCAAACTAGACCTAGTTTGGAAATTAAGATACAAAATAGGCTTAATATGAAAAAAGTCTCTCTGGCCAATAAAGCTAGTTAAATTAAATATATTATTATTATTTTTGAAATCGCTATTCTCATTCTACTTTGTTTCAGATATATTCAATTTTTTATTTTTATCATATATATATTATTAAAAGTAGTATTTTTTTTCATATTTAGGTGGCACACTATAAGGCATATTTTTTTCTACAAGAGTTGCGTCAGTATATATTTTTTTAATTACATATAGAGTTTTACACAAACTCAACTTAATTTAAATTTTAGTAACTTTATCTATTTTATATGAATTTTATTTCACAAATATTTTTTTTTTCATATATTTTTTTATGGTAAATTGAGATCTACAAACTCAATACCAATTTTGTATTTACGGTTTTTTTCTTAATTTTTTCAAGGGGGTTAGGATTTTTTTTTACTTAAATTTTTTTTTTGTGCATTATTCTATACTCAATATTAATTCTATATTATTCTAAATTATGAATTTGTCATTTAAATTTTATAATAATTATGAAATTATATTTCATTTTTTATATTATTTTATATAATCACAACTCACATGAGGAAAAAACTATATAACAATAATACTCTCGAGGAATCTTTAAAGTTTCAATTTATTGTTTGAGTTACTTTTTCAATTGTTGAACAGTAAGTTTTTTATGTTTTGACATCATATTACAGATAATTAATCATTTCACGTATTGGGATGTATCTATCGTTTGAATGTTTTCATTATTTTTTCTTTTTGGGTTTAAATGTTATGTAGTTCATTTTTGATTAGTTGTCGTTAAATTTTTTTTATAGTTGATGTTTTAATTTAATTAAGAGTATTTATTTTACAATCTTATAATTGTATATGTATATCATATAAAATCATTATATGAAAATCCAACTACAATGTATTTATATTTAATTTTTTAAATAAATTTTATATAATTTCTATTTCTGCATATTTTATTTTCCAAATGAATATGGAAGAAAATTAAATAGTTAGAATTACTTTTAATTTTATGTTACTAATTCTTTTTCTAATTTAACTAGTATTTTTAATGTTAAAATGAGTATTTATTTTACTATTTTATAATTTATATATCAATCAAAATTATTATATAATAATTACACTTTTATAATACGATAGAATTAAAATTATCAAAATACACAAATAATTTAACTAAAATTAATATATATATATATATATATATAAGTATTTTAGTAACAATTTTATGAGACGATGACGTCAATATTATCAAAATAAATAATTAAAACCACATTTTAATTATTTTTTTGTAACACACATGGTACCATAAAATATTTTTTGAAAAAAAAAATAGAACGTACATTGCACGGATCAATGGCTAATTATATACATAGAAAGAACTGTATTTAGAGTAAAATATAGTGAGAATCGCAGTTCTCTTATTTTTTACTATTACATTTCATGTCAGCTAACAATTGATGGTGGGGGTGCTGTGAGGGTATGGTTGCGACGGTAGTGGTGGTTATAGTGGAAGTGATGGTGTGGTTGTATTGATTAGATTTTAGTTTGGAAATAATTTTTTTTTTCCATTTAGCATTGAAAATGTTTTTCAGACTTTTGTTTTTGTCATACCAAACATTAAAAAATATCAAAAACAACGTTTTGGACCGAATCAAACAACGCACAATAAGATTTTTGTTTACCTTGTTCTCTGTTTTTTTTTTTTTTTTTTTTTGTAAATATAACCACCTAAGAATCTCAAAGACTTGATCCAAGTAATAGACACTGCAGATCCTGATGCCAAAAAGCAACATATAGGTTCAAGATTACCAAATTGATCTCTGCATGTGCAGTTTCACATGAAGTTGCAGCAGGCTGTATAGTACTGCATCTAACAACAATGCCATCAGGGCTCGGCACACACACACGAGGGGATGACAAGCTGATTTAAATGGCATTCTTCTACAAATGACGAAATTTGTAATGGTTAAACTGTAGTATAGACTGTTATATCATTCCAGGTTTGCATCTATGTAAAATTCACATCTACTCTTTTTACCTACCTGTTTGGAAAATGAGGACTCTTATTCAATTTCTTCGATGAACTATGCTAAACTCCATGGGGTGTCTTTCCTTGACGAAGATCTGGACTTCCCTTCATGAATGTCTTCCAAAAAAAAAACTTTTCCACTGGTTCAAACTTCACAGTTTCAGCTTGTTTTCCTGCCAAGCGAAACGTATGAAAACACCTGATTTTCTCAGGATACTTTTAAGAGCCATTTTCATGTCAGGAAGCACGACCATACTTTAGCAACTCCTATAATTTATCACAAAGAATTGATAGGACAATCCATTCCGTAATGAAGTGGCCATTTTAACAATCTAAAGTTTCACCCATTGAAAAGTTTGGAACAGATATAAACTATCTACAATCTCTCGTGTGCTATACAAAGACATTTTACCCCAAATTATTAGTAAATAATAAGATGAGTTTCAATCTGGATAATGTTGATTGAATAAAGAATGAAAAATCTATATCTCTATTTACCTTCTTTCACACAAGGATCGATAGTTCTTTGTCCTCCTATAGTTATAAAACAAAACTGCACACGTATATCGCGGCTTTGTACATATGTGTGAACATATTTACACTGTGTGGGGCTGGGTTCATTGGGTGTTATAAGCATCACACTCAGACTCTTTTATGTCATTAGCTACACTCGTGTGCCCAAAAAGTATCAGGATCTGCACTGAAGAGAGAAAAATCTGGAACTTCTAGATTTGCTATGTGCCAATCAACAAAACGAGCTTGTATTGACTTGAAAAGCAGCAAGATCGTCGGTAGAAGCCACCACATGTCGTCCTCCCTGATGCTAAGAGAATTTAAAAGCTTAGTAAATCCACCAGAAAGGGGAAAGAAAAAAAAAACCAATTCTAAGCTATGCAATCCATGCCCCACACAAAACTGCAAAAATATAGGTTTGGGGGGGGGGAGAGAAGAAGAAGAATGCTGAAACTCAATAGTCATATTTTATGAAACATCTTGCTATATAAGGTGATGGTTTCAGCAGGGGACTAGAGTCCAGTTTCTGCAATTACATTATATTACTATTTTTTAGGAAGAAAAAAAAAATCATCATTTAGCATGATAAAATGGGTAGAGCAAATAAAGGAATAGTAATTTCAGTGAGTTACTCTTCAGTAAAGATGGAACTTATTTGCAATTTCTTTTTAATTTTTTAATTTTTACAACCCTCTCCCTGCAATTAGCCCCTTCGGCTTGAACCACTTTCACACTTCTCTAGCTAGGCATTATTTAAAAAAACTAGGGGGAATAATTTCATATTCTTCTCCACAGGTTTTTGAGGAACTATGATTTGCAAAATGTCTACAACCTGCAAATACCAAAGCAAACCAGCATGGTTGTAGGATAATTTTTGTTCCTGTGTGCACCTAGATGCATGCATAAGCACATGACTCTGTCACCCTGATAATACCACTAAATTGTTTCCAAAGATGATTCTCTAAAAAGACCAATAGCCTCACCTTTTTGCATTCCACGTATTTGCTTCTTCAGGAGGCTGTAAAGAGGAAAGTCCATAATGAATCATGCCAGAGATGAAAGCCGCAACCTGCAAAGGCCATTTTGATCAATTTTGGAGCTATATGAGAGAGTTTCTTTCCATTTATAACAGAAAAATTATGAAAGAAATTTTATTCATAATTTCTTCAGGTGGCTTATAACATTTGGCTTAATGCTCAAAGGATAGAAAACAACCCAAAAATAACATAATTAAGCCAATTTCATTTGGAGCAACACAAGCAAGTGGTAATTTTGCAAAATCTACTGGACACTGGGTAAAACTTACCGTGTTTGACAGAGAGGCAGCATTCCATAATGCATAGATGCGAGCAAGTGAAGCTCTCCTGAGACCTTTACTGAATAAGGCATTCAAGCCTGCTGGGAAGGGAGAAAGCAAGGATAGAGGAAGAATGAGCAAGACAGCAAGAAAAGCCCCAAGAGACATCCAATAGAACTGAAGCAATGTAAGGAGGGTGACGGAAAGATCTGCCAAAAGCATGATCGAGATCAACAGCTGCAGGGTATCCTGAAACACAAAAATATCTGGATATTAATATTAGGTGTTAAATAACATCCCGATAAGCATTATGAAAATTAGGTGCTGCCTTTAATATCAACCAAATACCTCACGTCCAACAGGTCTCGTGTTGTGCAGTAGACGAGAAAATGGAAATAGAAAGTCCCTTCTAACATCCAAAGACTTCACGGTAGCATCATTTATTAGACCTCCATTAATTCCACCTGAAATCCTCTTACGTGATAATGCGTTACTTGTATACTGACTCTGCTGCAGTTGCTCAAGACTTTTTAGTGCAGAAGTAGCAGCTTTCCTGGAATATGGACCAAAAAGAAGACAAAGGAAAATTCTTAAAATGTAAATAAGACATAAAAATTGATCACCTAAAGCATGTAAAACTTTTATGGGTATGCAGTGGAATGATATGCAATAAGTATGACAACAAAAATAAAAATGATAATAAAATATGAAAGAAGGTTGGATTATCAAACATGAGAATGCAGGCCCTAATTTGAGAAGAGCCACTTCGTGCAAATAATTCTAAAGGTAATTTATATGTCATTCAATTCCTAGCAATCCCACATTAGTGGGACCAAGACAGGGCAATGGCCTTTATTAATAGTAACAATGTCTATGGTTGGTTGGTGGTTGTTGCTCTTGTCACTATTCTTTATTAACACAGCCTCATCTCCTATAAATTAAGAAAAATAAATGGTGCTTTATCTAAGCAATTGGAGGTAAATGATAAAATCTAATGATTAGAGAATGCTCTGTACAACTAGGGGAAACATTCCCGTCACCAATTAGAAAGACAGATAGAGCTACCTCTTATTGCCAAACAAGCTGATTATAGTTAATGTAATCATTAAAACCTGTTAAACTTACCATGTGTATGAATGGGATTGCTAGAGGGGGGTGGAAAACTGCTAGTTATGCTGACTTTAAGTGACTGTTTGGTACAAGTTCAAAACAATATTCAAAGTTGTTGTCATCAGTCGTTATTGTACACCTTCAACTGCATCTTATCTTCCAATTAGGGTTTGGCAACACTCATCTAATTATATATGATACACACACAGTATCTTCATTAATTAATGCAAATTAATAGCATTAAAAGGTACCCCTCATGATAACAATGAAGTCTTTAGCATCTTCTATAAACACAATATTTTTACAGATTGCCAAACCATTTGTTTCTTTCTCAGCCCAAAATCTAGAAAAGGATGGGAAACTTATATTTGCTCTAGTTACATGTCCACCTAAAAGTTTCCTCATCAGCACAGCAGATGAGAAAGTTCCAGGGGTAGCCTTTGTGAATTCCATGATATAGAAGAATAACCACAAACTCCAACATCTTCACCACAATCATATTTCAGGATTTCAATAACAAAACCAATCAATTAAAATGTCCAGGAGTCTGGGGCATGCATTGAAGACTGAATTTTAGTAATTATTATATCCTGATTTTTAGAAGGTGCAAAATATGGTGATGCAGTAGTAGTATTAATCATAAATAGATATAGTGGCTTCAGTAGAACTACTCAAAGTTACCTTGGAGACTCATCATGATTTCTGTCAGACAAATCAGACTGGTGCAGACTGTGGAGAGAATAATCACCAACCACTACCAAGGTACCGAGCTGGTAATAACCAGTAGCAGTAGCCTGAAACCATCCAAGCTCAATTCTAACCCCATGAAACTCAAGTTGAGGGTTTCCATGACTTCTGATCCAATTGACAACATGGACTAGAGCAGAACGAATGGATCCATGCCTAACTGTCCTTAATTGGGCATTCAAGCCAGCTGCCAAACGATTCCAGACAGTTGTAGGGACATGCTGGAATGAAAAGACAATTTTCATGTTAGATAAAAATATTCAAATGAATAATTCGTAACGCTACTCACATATTAGACTGGCAAGAGACCTGGCCAAGAAGATTCGTCAACAACATGTCACTGTGAAGATTATAGGGTGACATATAGCTTCCATCCCCACCAAAAATTATGCACAAGGGGAATCTCTTCTGTATTATTGTTACCATGTCTAGACGCTTTTCATCACCACCAAGGAAGAAATCAATGTATGCAACCATCAGGTCAGGGGTAGCTCCAACCTGCAGTAATTGCTGCTCATATTAATACATGACATAACAGGTGACAAGTGTCTTCCAACACCTATAAGAAAGTTCCCATTTGGGGAATGTTATTATTCTTTTTTCTTGATTGGGGAACCTGGAGGATAACATGTACTCAACTCCAATTTGTCCAGTGTCCAGAATAAATAAATGACATTAGTTAATATAAATTTAAGGGATATTTATCCCAAGGATTGGGTTATTGAAAGGACAAATTTGTTGTGATCAAAAGCACAAGCATGGTTGATTTCACCTGAATTTCTCTGGAAGTAGCAAAAACTTTTTTGGAAATATCATTTCCTTAACTTAATTATTTGATGCAAATGACATGTTGCTAAGAATTGATCTTTTTGACAGAATGTAAAATTAGATTGCCAACTGTACCTCAACATCTATTTTCTAGACAGACTTTTCACATGTTACAACCTACTAGGGTACCACAGGTACCAATCACATAATCACACAATGTCTAGAATGTTTGATTAGCTAGAAGTCTAAATAAGGGATATCCGTTGAGAATTCTTAAGGGCTAGCCCTGAAAAATGCTGAGCCTCATTGGTGCTCGCATGTTCTTGCTACAGTGTTGGCGAAGCCTATGTCACGCATTATTAATCAGAATCTCTATTTACATTTTTATTTTCCTGATGACAACACACCCATGCCTCCACTGACACTAAACCTTGCAACTTCTCACTTACATTGGCAGGAGATAGCACTTTAAGCTAATCGCTAGTTGTATGACTAACCAGACTATGTTTAGTCCATTAATAATCTTTTCCGACAAAACCAAGAAGACTTGAACTAAATCGAGAGAAAACCTATAGGCTATAGCATGTTTTGCAGACTCCCTAAACACATAATGCTATATGCATGTCCCTTGAAAATAAAAAACCAATGCAGGACCACCATATGTCTAAATTAAGTCTGTAGCAAACTTAAATTGTCAAAAAATTCAAAAATCACATGCTACCATTACTATTTAGGCAGTCAAACCTAAAAAATAACCAAAAAATTGCAATTCCAACAATACAAATTCGTTCAACCATGTTGACATTGCCACTTTGCACAAATGTTGCCAACGGTTAGGTCCATCTCTAGTATACCCCCTCCATGCCTATGTTAACAAGACCAGCATTGAGTAATGATCTTCATGGTGATATTTGTTCTGAACATTCATAAAAAATTTTAGGTGGGTTTCACTAAAGGCATGTTTAGCATCAGTACATATGTGGAAACTGTACCGTCAGCTTTAGAATCCACATTCTTCACTTTCTTTTCTTTTCTTTTCTTTTTGGTTTTCCTTTTGTTCAAGTCTGAATTTAATAAAATACAAACTCACGGTCATTGTGTCCCATAAACCGAGCGAAAAAAAATCTCTGGAAACTCTACTATAATCACTAGTGTCATTCAACATCATTCACCAACAAGGGAGGCTAGTGTCATCCAATAAATGAGGGAAAGCTCAATATTAATCTACGAAGCTTACAGGTGATGTTTCTTCAGTTTTTCCTAGTATAAGCATAGTAATAAAGAACAAAATGCCGTGCAACACGGACTTAAATATTGGATGAAAATTGTTGGGAGTATTACTACTAATATAAATAAGTCAGACCTTCATTCCTTTGTATAGAGCTCGTGACCGACACGATCGTAGACATGAGTGATCGTATTCAGATTTCACGTATTCCTGAAGACGATGGATTTTATTCCTCCTACGCCACTGTTTCCAGGACCAAGCACAAGGATACGCAAGCACAGAGAGTATGCTGTGCACTGACCCTTCCCACCAATCATAGGCAGCAACAGAGTTGATCTCATCAATAAATCTGTTAAAAGCATCTTCATACCTGCAAGGCTGCAACTCATAAGAGATTGCACATCATAAAAAAATATATCTATTTTGCAAGCAATGAGATGGAATAAATAAATTTAGTGCAGATAGTTGTTTCAATTCTATGGGAGAGAGATTCTTCAATTACTCCGCTTAACTAAAGAGTGTCCATGCACCAAACAACCAGCCCAGTTGCAATATGTGAATAATTTAGGCTTGCGCACGGTCAAGAGCATTAGAGAAAGCAAAAGAAGTTAACAATATATAATTAATCAAGTAATTGGCTAATGGTATACCAGAGCCAAAACCTAGTGAGGACATAATTTCTAGTCACTGATACTGACAGTAAAATCAAATTTCTAGCATGTTTTATTTCACTGTTAGATGGAAGGAAAGGAAAAGAAAAGAAAATTGTGTCCTAATAGAATGACATAAAAAAGTGTTACAAATTTACAATCTACATCAGCGTTAAATTGTGCAGTTATTCAAGGGCGTCCAAGTTCAAGTGATTTCTTACACAATCTCGATAATCGCATTGGGAGGAGAGTAAGGAAGATGCCAGGGTTCTCTGAAATTATTGGGCCCCATGAAGTACATTCTGTGAACATGGCTCTGAGTTTCTTCAGATCTGGTCCCTCGTACCTATGAATTGAGTAATTAAGCACACAAGATGGTGAAAGAGAATCAGGATACCTGTCTTTTAGCAACAGATATCATAAGTTGCAATTATGAAATGTTTGAAGAGACTAATGCACCTCTGATAGAGAAAGGAGATATGGGAAATGGTGATGATTTTGGCGTTCAATTGAATTTGCAGTGTGATAGGAAGAACCTGACCCAACAAATTTGACTCGCACAGTACTTAACAAGAGAGCTAAAACAACTAAAACACATGACAACAGAAGTGCAAAAGGCCAGGGCCCTCCAAATGTGTAAATCAGCTCTTCAAGAGGCGTATAGCAGTTTGGCATCCTGTACTTCTCCGATATACATTTATAGGGACAAGATGATTGAGTAACTCCCCCTGCAATGAGTGCAATCCACGTGTCATAATGGCTAAAATTAATTAATCCCAACAAGAGATGATGGGAAGAGACAAGAAACTCTGCTGATCAAAAGAATAAATAAATAAAAAGATGAGAAACTCTGTTGATCAACAACAACAACAAAAGACACAAGAAACTATAGCCCAGGAGTCAAAGCACAGTCATTAGAATTACCTCGTACATATATAAAACTTGCACGATATGGAAGAATCTCAAGAGGACAAGGAGTGCACAGATTTGCTTCAGAGCCCTCAACATCTTTGTATGTGCCAACAGGGCATTCCTAAGCACATATCACATAGCCAAAAACATTCAAACAACTGTCAGCACTTTGTGTAAATTAAGGTAACATACACAAATGACAAGTCCTATTGTTAAGATTTGCGCAATGGAAGGAGTGTTGTAACTACCAAAACATGGTACATTACCATTCAGTGAACTAAATTTAGCAGTTAAAAACTAGTTTGATCCTTCTTCCAATAGTCTTCATCTTAATAAGATAAAACATCAAAATGATAGTTCAAAAAAAATAAGATGGATTTATTAAGAAGATTTTAACACAGGCCCATGGCATGCCAATAGTTTACTTCGTTTCCAATACACTAATGCAATAGCATGATAAATTCCAATACATAGTGTAAAAGTTCAAGAAATTAGGATTAGGGTTGGAGAGGAAAGAGAGAAGAGATGAAGAGAAGAGAGAATATAGAGAATAGGTTATTGGGTCATAATGAAAAGCCCTCACCTAACACATATCCATATTAAAAATTAATGTCACTATGACAATAATACCCTCAAGATAAAAATAAAATAACATGACAAGTCTAACAGTGATTATTGTATTCAGCGAACAACAATCCCAACCCAACTGTGTACCAAAATGATCCAGACCCCAGGTAACACTCTGTTAGACAAAAGGGACAACAGCTTGATATTAATATGAACTAAAAAGCAAACAAGTGAAAAATGGTTATTTCCAGAGGGCAGCTTACTGTTTGTAACATAAGCAGGCACTAACCAAACCAAACTAAGCCTGATGTCCTAATGAAGTGGGGTCGGCGAATCCTTTTCACCATTTAGCTCTATCAAAGGCTCTATGCACAATTAAATAAATAAATTCATATCTTTTTTCACTACCGCATCCCATATCAGCTTAGGTCTTTCCCTCCCCTCATCCCTAGCATCTCCACTCATGGTGATTCTATCACTTTTCCTTACCATTGCATCTACAGGTCTTCATTGTACATTTCCAAATCATCTTGACTTTTAACTTATCTTCAATAGATACTACTCCTACCATTTCATGAATACATTTATTTCTACTTCTATCTTTTCAAGTCTTACCACACATCTATTTAGGCATTCTCAGCTCAACTACAATCATTTATGCACATATTTCTTAGTTGCCCAACACTCTGTCCTGTAAAGCATCATCAGCCTCAAAGTTGTTCTATGGAATTTTCCTTTCAATTTTGTTGGTATTCCTCGATCACATAATATGCTAGATGCACTTATCCACTTGAGCCAACTTACTTTGATTCTATGAATCACATCAAATGGAGAAAATTTGATCCCCCCATATAGATAGTAGACTTGTGTTATATAGTGCATGCTGAGTTTTCTTTAAGTGCCAAAAGTTTTTGATAGGGAGGATGATTGGCTAACTAAAAAAGGAGTTTCCATTTTGGAGTCAGATGGGAATAATTAAATTTTGATTCTTCTTCGAGGTTTTGGTTTGCTTCCCTTTCTACTATTTTATCTGAACTTTCCTTACCTCTTTGACAGGATTTTAGTCCATTTATGGACAATCATATCATTCCTGTTGGCAAAATAAATTCCTTTTTTTAAAGAAAAGAAAAGAAAAGAAAACGTGGTAGAATAATACATTTTCGTGTTTGAAATCCTACGAAATTAAGAACATAACACATTGGTACCACATCCAACAAACTTTAAGGTATCGGCATCCCCACCCAATAACACTATCCACTGTTGAAGAAAAACAAAACAAAACAAAAATAAATAAATAAAGAAATAAGTATGTGTATTTACACAAAATAAAATAAAGAAAGAAATAAGTACGTGTATTTGCACAAAATAAAATAAAGAAAAATGACAACTTTTCATTAGATGTTGAGGGAACATGGAACATGTTCCTCCATATGGCATTATGTCATGAAAATACTTCTAATGAGGGTTAAGAAATAGCTTAACAGTTCAGACAGAAGCCATCCAAAACCAGCAGAAGAAAGAATAGCAAAACACCTTGCAGAATATACCAAAAAGGCCCTTAGGGCACTTCTTTCCTGTAACAGTCCCCTCCCCTCCACGAAGACCGCCACCATCCCCATCACCCCCGCTGTAGACATCATAAGATCAAGTACACATTATTATAACAAATATTTCTTACAGAAAGAGATACAAAATCTGTTTGATTAGCTGGTTAAGATAATTAGTCAAAGAGTTAATACAGAGTACTGGTAACTGCAAACTTTAAAAAGGGTTTGCATGGAAACATGAAGGCATTAAATGTGGAAGAATACAGCAACAACTCAAGAAAAAATTAAGCAAATGCTATGTGCAAAACTTAACCATGCAAGATTGTGAAGACAGCCTAAAATGCCTAAGTTACATAATGGCCTTTTAACCATCTATAATCAAATTTATGAAATGAAGTGTAGTAAAGAATATGTAAAACCATATAATATACCATACTCTCATAATCATATTTATTAAGTAAAATATGTATTATCTACTATCCAAACTCATAGTTTTAGTGAAATGTGTTCCAAATTTTGATGTGCTAAAAGAAGAATAGCCCCACTGATCTAAGTGAAGCTTGCAACTCTTTTAAGTGATAATTCATACAACAGTTTAGTTTTTAACTTTTTTCCCCTTGAGGCCAAGTTTGGCATAACCTAAATGTACGGGGAACAAATATTCCGGCAAGCCCGTACTCCTTTCTTCCGAGCTCCGTTTCTGTCCGATCACCTGCGAGCAAATAACGATGAGCTGCCCGGCGGTGTGTGCCCGGAAAAACCCTCCGACGATCAAGTTAGCACACACCTTAGGATAGAGAGAGAGAGAGAGGAGTGTTTGAGTGTAAGAATTTCCTTACAGAATGTTCGTCTATCGCGTATGGGGGGCGCAGACATGCTTATATACCCTTTGCGTCCCATATCCTCTCCCAATCATCTCCTGACACGTGGCTCTGCTATCCCATCTGTCAGCATAAACCTTGCTGAACATCACCTAATCTCAACTGCCTGCCTTCTCAGCTGGAGCTCGGCAGCCGTGCTTTTCTATCTACGGCCGTGCTGTGCTTCACACCCAAGCACTTCACTGGCTAAGCCCAAGGAGAACCGGGCTAGGCGGCATCTCGGCAAAGCCTAGCCCGGGGCACCTCCTGTGGTCGGCCTTCCTGCCGATCAAACGATTACCTTGGCTGACCACGCCTTTCCGGGCGCCGGTCACTCAGCTTGACTGGCTCCACCATCGCCTGATCAAACAGCTCGCTCCAACCGAGCACTGCCTGGCCGAGCAGCTTCTTTACGGTCTGGGGCGGCACATACTTGGCCCAACTCCTGCCCGGCCCAACTCCTGATAGCCCATCTCCGAGCGGATCGCCGGTCATCTCGGCCCCATGCACCATTAGGCTCTCAACTTGCTCGGCCGTTGCCTCGGCCCAATTTCAGATCATAAATCTCCCTCTCAATTGCCCCTTAATTCCATCCGCGCGAGCGTGACTGGGATTACCTATACTTTGACCGAGGTAACATTTCTTCGGTCTTCAAAATGCCAAAGGGCGACCAGGCTAGTTAACATTACTGTCTGCAAACTTACCCGGCTATATTCCTCGGCTGACGTCCTCTTCTTTGAAAGTAGCTCAGTTGGCTCTTCGACTCTTCAACCTGTCTCTTCAGTTCTGACGTCGCCATAAATGGTGACACGTGGCGGGCTGCCATTGGTTCTCGAGCAGCCAACCCGCCGTTTTTGCCAGAATTTGAATTTGGGCGGTCTCTCTTTTCTATACATACAAGACCCTTCTAATTCAATTTCCTCCTACTGTCATTCTGCTATTCGACTCGCCAGACCTCTAGCATCTTCCTCCAAGCCCCGCTTGCCATTCTTTGCGTTCGTGCTCAAAGAAAAAGTAGTTGCCCCCTCACTGGTAAGACCTTCAATCCCTCTTTTGTTTCTATCTTCTTTAATATTTCACACATTAGGGCACTAAAACTTAATTCTTAGGGCATAGGCCACAGAAACCGTCCCAAACCTCCCACTGTTCTTGGTGTTCTTTATTTTTCCTGAAGAACACTGAAGAACTGGGGCGGACCGGACTCCTGGTCTTCATTTGATCCAAAAAACCAATCTAACCGAGCAAATAACATGTTTGTCTCAACCCCAGCAAAAACCGAGATAACAAAAGGAATTGGTCGCTCAACCGGGCTAACATCTGGTCTGCTTGGGCGACCGAGCTCCTTAGTTAGCTTAGACGACCGAGGTGGTTTGGCACTCTTAATGACCGAGCTAAAGTCCAGCTCATTTCGCCCGACCGCGCTCACGCTTGCCATCATTTTGCTGCAGAGTCCAAGGGGACCACTGTCCATTCCTGAGGCTCTCAAGGCCAAGCAACGACCACTTAATACAGTGCCAAACCCCTCAGCCGAGCTATCCTAGGCCGGCCACAAATAGGGAAATTTCGATTTCTTGTAGATACTCCGGTTGCACTGGCTGCATTCAGGGAGGAGTACGGCATTCCGGCCGATGTCCACCTTGAACTTGCAGAAATTGAGACGACACCTTGGGACAGGGAGGAATGCCCCTTCACCGTGCTATCCATCGTCGAAGGGGGCCTTCGTTTCCTACTCAACCCACTGATTACCAAGTTCCTGCGCCGAACCGGGCTAGCACCCACCCAAGTGTCCATTCAGGGAGGAGTACGGCATCCCGGCCGATGTCCACCTTGAACTTGCAGAAATTGAGACAACGCCTTGGGGCAGGGAGGAATGCCCCTTCACCGTGCTATCCATCGTCGAAGGGGGCCTTCGTTTCCTACTCAACCCATTGATTACCGAGTTCCTGCGCCGAACCGGGCTAGCACCCACCCAAGTGTCCACCAACACGTACCGAATAATAAACGGCGTGCACGAGCTAAACAACCGGTTAGGCATAAGCCTAGGTTTAGCCGAGATCCTACGCCAATACACCCTAGGCCACACCGGCGACAGCCTCGCCTATTATCTTAAGATTAGACTGGGCAGAGAGAAAATCGTGACTGGCACTCCAGACAAGGATCTTCACGACGATGATTTCTTCTGGGTGTCAGGCAATTACGAGACAGCCGAGGTACAGGGCTGGATGATAAGCAAAAACTTTGGCAGCACATGTAAGCCGCACAAATTAACTCGGTTAATATACTGTCTTCATGTTTCCATACTTAGTCATTTTTTTTCTTGTTTCTTTTGCAGCGATCCAAGCCTTGCAAGCCAACTATCATTTCCCCAACGTAGAGGCAATCAGGACCGCGCTCCGCTACCGCGACCGAGATTGCAACCAATTGCTCGGCTACAGTCCCACATACAGATACTCCGCTCCCCGCCGGAGTAAAGTTACAGACTTCCTCCGCGCTCCAACACCTCCACCAGATCCAACTCTGCCAGACGTTCCACTCATTCGTTTGACAGAGGAGCAAGAGATGGCCAAACGAAGCAGAATCAAGAACCTGCTCACCGCCACATCTGCCGAGATGCCGAGCGTTGTCACCCGCTCGCCAGCCGCCGGTCAATCCAGCGGCGCCGTGGTCGCTCTTGCCTCTCAAGCGACCGGTCAGTCCAGCCGAGAACCTGCTCCTCACCGTGCTGGTAAAAGAGCTCGCGCAGACCCATCTGCCGAGCTTGTTGCCGAGCTGAGTACCGAGCAGCCATCTGACAATCCTGTCCCAGTGCCGGCCTGGCGTCCACAGCTGAAGCACCGGGGTCAAGACATCCCGGCCACAGCTTCAATCAAGGGCGATAAAGAGCATTTGCTCGCCTTCAATCTTTCCAAAGCTCTTCTTCTACCGAGCGACGTGGTCGGCAGCGACCACGTCCCTGACACTCGGTTGATAAAATCATCAGTGAAGTCTATGGCTAGGGTAAGTCAATATACCTCTGAAATTTTCACAAGTGTTTGCCCGGTTCCTTCTCTAATCAACTTTGCTTCTTGCAGGCCATTCAGAAACAACACCTAGTAATGGAGCGCATCCATAGACTTCGGCAAAAGGCCAATGACACAGCCAGCCAAGTCTAGAGCCTCCAAGCCGAGCTCGGCCGGGCAAAGTCTTCACTTGAGATGGCTAATGCAGACAACAACAGACTGCTCAGTCGGCTGGATGCGGTCGAGGAAAAACAGGATGAGCTCCAGACCGAG